ATTACCAAGGGTGTGAATACTTTTGCAATCCACTCTAAGGGTAGATGTGTTATAGGGCTTATTATTAGTACCAGGCAGTAACAGTTTCCTGTAATGTTTTCAGTCTGTTGCTGATCTGTTCTGCAGTGGTCTAGTGTGTTTTTATGGAGGGAGTGGGAGTCATCGGTAGTGATTTACAACAGTTTTCCTGAATATATCTGCCAAGGTGTCTAACATCTGTTCAGTTAGTTTGGTTAAAATTATGATGAGGTTCATTAGACTAAGGCAAAAAAAATTGGAAATAATTGGATATTAAGATAAAAGGATTAGGGATCCCAATATATAGCATACATACACCTTATTGCAATACAACGTACTGTATAATACACCGTATTTTATTACATTAATATTGTTTATTGTATATCTTAGCTCCTTGTGTACTGTTTCTTTTTTATGCATGATATTTTTGCTATTTTTGGGTGTAGCTGGGACCCTGAGTACACAATTTCATTACAACCCATGTACCACATGTGATGTGAATGACAATACAGTCATCTTGAATCTTGATACTGTATTTATTTTAAGGTCAGATAAATGTTGAAATTAGGGCAAGTTTAGAGTTAGTGGGGAAAAAAATACCCAGAAACACAATTAGTACATTGGTATGAAATGGTAACGTCTGGGCACAACTTGAGTGTACAAAGTGACTACAGTGACTCAAACGAGTTCATGTACATTTGAACTTGTATTTACTATTAGGTTTGTATTTTACTCATTTTAAGATCTGCTACATTTGTGTCCCCATATATAAAACCTTTACACTGATCAAAAAAGTGCTGTTTTGTAAAGTGTTACTGCATGTTATTGAGCTAGAAAATACACACCCTCCACTGACACTATGGTCATTATGACCATAAACTATGTTTAAAAAGCACAAAAATGTACCAAAAGAGTACCCTGGTTTGTCACTGAAGGGTTGAACATTAATCTAATATACAAAAAGAGTGCCTTTGAATGACTTTATCAATAATGGTACAAACATAAGGGACATGTTTTAGTTGCAGTGAGAAGCTGATACCCTGTATTTGATACAGTTGATCACAATATTCTACTACAGAGGCTTGCATATGATATTGGGATTACAGAGCGGTTTTTAAATGGATTAAACTATTTATTTGATAGATTCCAGTTTGTAAAAGTAAATTATGAATCTTCTTCATACACCAAAGTTATTAATTGAGTTCCTCAGGGTTCAGTGCTTGGACCAATACTCTTTACTTTTATATACTTCCATTGGGTAAAGTTATTAAACAGCATGGGATAAATGTTCATTGTTGTGCTGATGATACTCAGTTATATTTATCCATGAAACCCGATGAATCCAAAGAGTTACTTTAGACTACAAGCATGTCTTAAAGACATAAAAATCTGGGTGACCCTAAATTTTCTGCTTTTAAATTCAGACAAGATGGAGGTTGTAATTTTTGAACCTGAGTATCTTAGGAATGAAATTTGCAGCCTTTTACTTCCTCTGAATGGCATTAATTTGGCCTCCAGTTCTAATGTAAAAAAACAACTTGGTGTTATTTTTGATCAGGACGTGTCTTTCAACTAGGGCAGAACAATTAATTGCATTTGCAATAATATTGCAATAGGATAAAATGAAATTTTCTAATCGCAAAGGCTGCAATTTGACTGGTCACGTGATCTGGTCACATGACTTGCGAGTGAGGGAGCAGAGCAAAGCAGAGCCGGGAGCGGGAGAAGTCAACACTGCGTGGTTGTACACTGGTTGTACAATGGCGTCAGGCTCGACAGAAACTGACACATCTGAAAGTTTGGTACCAAAGAGGGGCAGCACGTCCGTAGTTTGGAATTAATTTTGGCTATAAAAAAGAAGACGCTGAGCAACGACATGTATTGTGCAGAAACCTGCCTTGCTGCTGTTGCTACCTCTCAAGGTAACACCACAAATCTTTATCAACACTTAAAAAAACACCACAAAGCCATTTACAATAGTTGCATGGCAAGAATGTCCACGACTAGTGCTTCGACTTCAAGTAAGCAAAGCAGCAGCCGACAGGGATCACTGACCGAACTGTTCGAAGGTTTTACTCCGTATGAACATAATTCAAAACTGCACATGGAAATAACTCAAGCAGTAACGGAGTTCATAGCGAAAGACATGATGCCAATTAATATAGTGACCAAGCCTGGGTTAACGGCTTTGGTAAACACAGTGGATAAGCGGTACAGAATGCCCTTAAACGCACATTTTAGCCAAGTTGCTATTCTGGAGCCATACTAAAAAAAAATGCAGAAACAAAGTTGCAGCAGAGCTGAAAACAGTGGAGGTTTCTGCAACTGAAACAGACTGATTTAATTACTTGTGTTTGTTGAAAAATACATGAGAAGAAAACATTGAAAAATAATCGCATATTAAATCGCAATATTGAGGTAAAAGATCGTAAAGAGAATATTTTCCAAAATCGTTCAACCCTACTTTTAACCCTCACATTAAAAATGTTACCAGGACTGCTTTCCTCCACCTGCGTAATATCACTAAAATTAGAAACATCTTGTCCAAAACTGAAGCAGAAAAACTGGTCCATGCATTTGTCATGTCTAGGCTAAACTATTGCAACTGTTTATTAACTGGGTGTCCAAAAACTTATTTAAAAAGTCTTCATTTGATCCAAAATGCTGCTGCCAGAGTCTTAACTGGAGTTAGTGGGAGAGATCATCTCTCTCCAGTTTTAGCTTCTCTCCATTGGCTCCCTGTCAAGTCCAGAATTGAATTAAAAATCTAACTTTTAACCTACAGTTCTCAAAAACCTAGCTCCATCTTATATTACAGATCTTATTGTTCCATATTTTCCTAACAGAGCACTGTGCTCTCAGAATGCAGGTTTACTTGTGGTTCCTAGTTTCCAAAAGTAGAATGGGAGGAAGATCTTCCAGTTATCAAGCTCCTCTCTTGTGGAACCAACTTCCAGTTTCTGTCCATGAGGCTGACACATTGTCCAGTTTTAAGATTAGACTTAAGTATTTCCTTTTTAATAAATCCTATAGCTAGGGTCAGCTTGGGTTTCCTGAGACATCTCTTCGTTATGCTGCTATAGGTTTAGACTGCTGGAGGACTAATTAACCACATTTCCTCACTCTGCTGCTGTCTTTACTTGCTCTATTCGTTTGTATTTGTAATTATTTCTATCCTTAACGTGTTTTTTTTTTTTTCTTCTTCCAATAGAAAGTAAACCTGGATCAGTCCTTCTATGTTTGTTTCTCCTTCTTTTCCTCTCAAACCCCAGCTGGTCAAGACAGATGGCCGCTCGTCCTGAGCCTGGTTCTGCTGGAGGTTTCTTCCTGTTAAAATTGAGTTTTTCCTTTCCACTGTTGTCTTTGTATTTGCTCAGGATGGGAGGCTACGACAAAGTGAAGACAATCTGCTGGCTTCCTTAGATAGATAACTTTTACTAGTTGTTTTTTATAATGTATGTGAATGTTTCTGTTCAGTGCCTGAGACAACATCTGTTGTGACTTGGTGCTATATAAATAAACTGAATTGAATCGATGCACATTTAAGTACCAAAGTGACTCTAAACTGTTAATTGTTGCATTGTTAAATTTTAAGATCTGGTCTAAACAAAATGATTTATCTTTTTTTATTTCATGTAAAACTGTCAAACTGAACACAAAAGTGCATGGGCTACTTTTTTTTAGCATAACTGCACATGTTCTTGGACTGGAGGATAAACTGCTCAACTCATACACACACCATAGCCAACATGACATTACACAATAAAAAAAAGGTACAAAAATGTACCAAGAATGACCTCTAGCTGGTCACTACAGCTGAACCTTCAAGGTATGGGCATGGTGCTGTGATACAAAATAAAATGAGTCTTTAAAGCCTGAACCGTTAAAGGTACAACCAAAAGGTACAAAATGTTCTAACCCATCTCATACCATTCATGGTGAAGCTGGGGCGGAAAACTAATACCTCTCTTGGTACATTTGTTTTACCTTTACTGTGTAATCAGTGAGCCACACTAATTGTGGGAATACTAATAAGTGAGGAGCTGATAAAAATATTAACATAAAATAACTCAGAGAAATATTCCATTAGGAACGAAAAGTATAACTTAGGTGTAAACTTTTGAAAACAATACACCAAAACTCGGCCACGTCCTCCAGTCTAGAGCTGTAAAAAAAAAAAAAACCTAACTAATGACCCAACAGGCTTTTCATCTGTGTCTCCTTCCCCCATCATTACTCCCACACCGTGCCACCTACTTCCACGATGCACCCGCCACCGCGGTCCACGCCCGTGCTACTTCACGCCACATTCGTAAATAAAAAATAAAAAAAAAGCTGAATTCATTTCATAATCCTTGCAAAAAGATCCAGTTTTTCTTTAAGCCAAGCCTATTATTTTAGTGTCAAGGTTTTGGACATCATATGAGTTATAACGTATATATATAAAAGTATAACTAGTATAGCTTATAAAGCTACAGGCCCCGTGTGTAATCTAGTGATTATATATAGTCAACAATTAAATAACACACTTTCGCTAAAGTAACTGATTTTAGTATTTCTTTTTATGACATTTAGATAGATTTAATATATTATAATTCGAGTAATAGGTTTTTACGCATACATTTAACGCATTTTGGAACTTTAAAGTGTTACTGATTTTTGCCCTGCGGCTCCTGAACGCACCGTCAGTCCGGACCAGGGGGCGTGGGTTGACCGGCTTTCTGCGAGGCTCAGACACAATGAACCGTCAGACGGGAAGGGGCACGCACCTTCATCCCGCGGCGTTAGCTTTATTTTAGCACATTATTCCTTCTAACTGTGCCTTTTCTTTCTTTAACAAACTTGTTTTTAAACTACTGATACGTTGTATGGCAGCGACGTAACCGTAATTCGTCGAGTTTTGAAGAAAACGAGGTCGGGATCGAGACTAACGTCACCTTTTTTTAATTTTATTTTTCGATTTTATTTTTTTATTGAAGACAATGTCGATGTCTGCTTCGTCTGATTATTTTGCTGCCGAGTGCCTGGTATCGATATCTAGCGGTCCGGTCCTGCACAGACCCACCCCTGTCGCCTCCACCGGTCAGCCCGCCCCGGCGGGCCTTCTCCCCGGGGAGCCCGACGGCTCGAGCGAGGACCGGGAAGTGCGCGAGACGCTGCGGCTGGAAGGCACGAACATGATGACGGTGGCCGGTATCCTCACGGACCTGCACAGCAAGTTCCGCCCCATGTCGGCCTACTCGGAGAGCAGCAACTCGTCGTGCGGCGGGGAGAGCGGGTACACCACGTTGTCCGACCCCACCACCCCGACCATGACCCCCTCCGCTACGCCCGTGCCCGGACAGCAGCAGTACCAGCTCAGGGGGTCAGGGGGGGTCGGGCCCTCGCGGTCTCCTGTGAAACGACACCAGTGCACCTTCGACGGATGCGACAGAGTTTACGGGAAGTCGTCGCACCTGAAGGCACACATCCGGACACACACAGGTAAACAACACATGGTGTTGTATAACTTTTCGCTAGCTGCGTCTAATGGAGCTAGCAGCTTCCTCTTGTATGCTAGCAAACCTTTCTGTGAGCTAAAGTGACGACGTTCTCCTGAGACTTCGTGTAAGTGGGTTTTATAACCGCTTTGATTCGATACACCACACAAAGAGAGGGGCACGTTGACTCTGACAAAGAAGTAAAACAACAAAAGAACAGGGTTGGTCTTTGAAACCTGTGACGGAGGTCTTCCTCCCGGCTGGATTTGCATATGAAATGGCCGTAAGACGAAACCCCAACGTCGGGGTCGCTGGGTTCGTGGTGGGACACATCTGTGGCAGCAGCCGGTGGAGGATGGGTCTACTTTTTTCTGTTCGCCACCTCGTGCTCTGTGTAAACATCTACAATTGTAAAAAGAAACAAAGTAAAGCCTCACCCCTTAGTGTAATATATAAATACTGTGTAAGATTTAAAAAAAAAGTTACAGTGTGTTGCGGAGCTGCGCGCTTCTTCTCGATAATTAACGGGTTATTAACGTGTTGTTCGGTGTCACTGAGCATGCGCAAATGGAGAAGAGGCAGGAAGCTGCTAAAAGAAAGTGTGGGAACGCCCACGAGGGAGCTCTCAATCCACAACGTGGCCCGGGCTTTGTGATCTTGAGGGGGGAAAAAATGGCACGGAGCATCCTCACTTATCCCGGTGTTGTGTTGAATTGTGTTCCCTCGACATGTGAGTCCTCCCCTGTTTCAAGTTAAGCAGATTTCCAGCCATTAGGGAGTGTTCCACTTTTCTATATTTTAGCAGAGAAGAATAAATCTCTGGATTTTTAAGCTCGTTTTCCTATCAAATCCAAGGAAAACAATTTTTTATTTTAAATATTTAGCCATCATGAAGTGTTTCCTCAGCTATATTGGACTAAAAAGGGCTTTCTTTCCAGAAATACCACTATTAAAGCAACAAAGATAATGGAGAAATCAATCTCATCAGGGAGCACAGTTTGCCACAGCACATGCTGCCTGCAAGAGACGAGCTGACTCTTTGCGACATGTAAGCTGTAAAGACTACCAGCTATTTAGAAACTGTCCTTCTGAGTTTTGAATCATCTAAATCATCCTTTGTCCTTTTATTTATACACGTTTGGCACACATACATTTTGATTTAGCCTAACTTTTATCTACTCTAGAAAACATTTAGCAAGTTTCAGCCTCCCAGGTGACACATTTTACAGCTTCATCTGAAATTGAGGTAAAGTGAATATTAAAGTTTAGATGGCTCATTCCAGGATACAACTTCTTTTTCTTGATTTTTTTTTTCTGTTCCAAAGTTTTAGACAATCTGCAGATTCAGTAATGATCATCCTGGTTAAATATACTGGATGATGTTGAATGACACTGGTTTGTTGTGACTCAGACACTTTTATGGCTGTCTTTGTCCTTGAACGTGTGTTGGGTGCTGCTAACAGCAGGACACGTGACTGTCACAGGTGAATGTGTTTTTCCTCTCTGTTGCAGGTGAGAGACCGTTCCCTTGCACCTGGCCCGACTGCGAGAAGAAGTTTGCTCGCTCCGATGAGCTCGCCCGCCACACCCGCACCCACACGGGGGAGAAACGGTTCCAGTGCCCGCTGTGCGACAAGCGCTTCATGCGCAGCGATCACCTGATCAAGCACGCTCGCCGTCACCCTAACTTCCAGCCCTCCATGTTGGGGCGCAGCAGAAGCACCACTTCGGCTTCTAACCAAGTCGTTCATAACTAGGCGGCGGTGCCAAGGCGACTTTATCTCAACTTAACCAGCTACAATCAAATCCACTGTGTTCTACTCAAAGCATGCACATACACGACACGCAGAGCTGGGCGCTAGGGGTGTAGCAGCACCACCTCTGTCCACCTGCGTAAACTAGGGCTGGATTCTCAACACATTCCTTAACAGAACTCGACAAACAAATTGTTTTATTATTTTTTTTAACTTTAGTTTTCAGTTCCCAGAAGCAGCTCTTTCGATACTGCTGTCCGAGCGCGTGTGAAGTGTTTACAGAACGCCGGACTGGACTGAACCTTTGAAGGTGTAGCTTCACCACAGGCACATGGTAATGATGCAGAGAATTACTCACTGCATATATGCAAGGGCAGACTATAAATACTGATAAAAGTGACCACAGAATGGCCGATCAGTGGGTTACATGTGCACATTTAGTGAAAAAAATGTTTTCCAAGACAACATTTTTTTAGTAAAATAACTAAAAATGCCCCTCTGATCAAATAAGGTGCTTTACGTCATTACAGAACGTCTGTAAAAAACCAGCCCTGAAAGGAAGCAGCTGTGAAACTCACCTGATGCACCAAAACCTAAAACCAACACGGCTACAGATAACATCCACAACTCTTCCTCTTTTTTTGAACCAAAAACAGCTCACAGAATACCTCAGTGTCTTTTACAGTCTCACGTCAGCACAGAACTTTCTTCTTTTGTTCTTTTGTGACACTTCAGTTCGTGATAAGACCCAGAACCACAGACTAGGTTCTGGTTCTTATCACCCAACCCTACAACAAAAAACAACCTGGTGGTTTCAAACTGGAACACTGTAACTGCAGGGATTTGTCGTGTTTTGTTTCATTTTATCTGCGTGCATGAAAGCGCACGCTCCCCATCAGCCAAACTCCACCGTTTCATGTTGATTTAAACAGGTAGCATGCAATCACATCAGTTTTATTCGTTTTTATTTTAGCTTTACTTATGCTAAAACATTCCTACATTATTTTCTTCACTTATTACTATTAAAGGTAATTTTAACAATATTTTAATTTCTTTTATTTCCAGTTTATCTATAAATTAATTTAGCTAGAGAGTGGAACAAATAAGTAGCTGTAGAGGAGCAGTTTGCACGCCAGTCTGAAGGTTAGAGTACTTATCTGGAAGATGCTCACATAATACGCAGCAGTATTATGTCTAATATTCATGCAAGTGTAAATATGCTTTAAGCGTTTGATGTAGAGGAAATGGTAATGCTACTAGCAGCAGAAGTAACCGATAAGTTGTAGTCCTTATATTAGGGGTGACATATGCTTGGTAGGATTAACTGTGAGAGTTGGTGTGTGTGGTTCCTTCTTTAAGGATAGTGACAGGACTGATTCAAGTGTGTGTGGAGTTGTATCGAAATCGCTTGTATTTTCTTAAGAGTTGACTGATTATTCTTCTGTAGCCTTTACAGTAAAATGATCCACCTCGTGCTTCTAGGATGTAGGGCCAGGTGATGTGTGGACTTTGCTATTCAGGTGTGCCAGATTGCGGGGGGGGGGGGGGGGTTTCACCAAAGGCAAATTTAAAGTCTTAAAAGTGTCACTGGAAAAATACTAACCAGGCTCAGCTACATGAAACAATATTTTTTGTCGTTGACTCCCATCAGTTAAGACAGAAAAGCACCACAAGCGTTTCTTCAATGGAGTTTTGTATAAAAGTTAAAAGTTCTACATAGGGGTGCATGATATTGGACTTTTTTGCCGATATGTTAAAACTTATTTGGCCGGTTACCGATACCAATACGATATTTCTCCCCCCTGGACCTACTTACAGAGACTGCATGGTTTTCTCTGCTGTGGGATTAAAATACATTATTCTACATGATCTTTGTCAGTTTGGCCTGCTACCATATGTGGGCTGAAAATGATGCAACACTTCAACTTGGATTATGTTTAATGTCAAATTTATTTATAACATTTACTCTCTAACACAGTGACAACACTCGAACGGTGCAAATTTGTAAATGTTCGCAAATCTAAACTCAAACTGTTCACAAGCGACAAGTCCATATGTAGTAGTGCATTAATAGATGTACTTGATATTTTCTTAAATTAAAAATTAAATCAAAACAGACGCCTTTTATTTCGGTGAGTTTTGATGGAATGGCCGATATTTGACTTTATCGCTAATATCGGCCGATACTGATACATGCCGATAATATCGTGCACCCCTAGTTCTAGATAACTCTTTGAATGACCTCAGCTTGGAGAGATAGTGCATTTCTGACGGGACTGATGAGCTAATGGCTAGTCTGAAGTCAGATTATCTTTAAACAGCTCTCTGGACCACTCAAACATTTTTTTTTTAATCTCGGTGAGCACTTCTTCAGGAAAGCCTTAAACACTGTCGTAGCTACGTGTTTGCTGTCGGATCATTTGGGTCGGTTCTGCGTCTCATTGGTACATTACAGAAACTCATGCAACATGGCACTTTTTTGCCTGAAAGGTGTACTCGGCTGAAGAGTAATGGCTCGTACTGTTTCTGTGTTTCTACAAGCAAGCACTGTGGAACTTTGCCATGTTTCCAACCAGTGGTTTGTTCAAAAAGCAAAAGCCTGCCTTCTCCATTTGCTTCAAAAAGCACGATAAATGAACCAGGTAGTTGTTGCTTTTATTCATTGTCTGTTGTTGTTTTTTTGTGCGTGTGCGTTTTTATCTATCCAGGCCACCTTTTAGTGTGGAGTTTAATTCTTTTAGCTCGATTCGTTGTTCTCTGATCCGTCGACTTTACTTCCAGACTAAGATGGGAGACGTCTTCCTGTTTCACGTCACATGGCTTCGTCAGACGGCGGCTGGCGTGCTGTTGGGTTTTATTTCAGTGGCGGCGCTGCTCTCTGGGGTGAAGCTCAAACACGTTGAAGCCGACATCTTTTCACCAGAAGGGTTTTGGTTGCTGCTGGCAGTAATCAAAAACCAGCAACTGTTTAACAAAGGAACACATTACAGCTATAATATCACAAGAACGTCATACCTCACAACCTTTTTTATTTTATTTTTTTGCAGTGTGTACAGAATCCCTCCAACTTTTCTTTCCATTGAGCGTTGGATTACAGACGTCTGTTATTATGGGCTGTCGTGTACCATTATCCTCACGGACTTTATATGCAACGTCATCACAACGTGCAGCAGCAGGACTCCTTTAACATTTGTTATTAAGCAAACAGTTCCTTTTGTTCACTTGTTTTTGCTTTTTCTATAGAGTTTATCCAACTGCTAAAGAGGGCATTAAAACAAAGTATAAAATCTGCCGGTGTATTGACGCCTAATGGAAAGTTATTTTTGTTCAGCTTGTGGCTCAATAACAGCAGAGCATCATCAACTTTGGATGTTTGTTGTTGTTTTCTTGCTGCCTCTATAATAATTATTCTTCCAACCACACTAATTCAGAGATGCACATTGTACAGGAGCGGATTTTTCTTATTGATGGCTAATTTTTATATGGTGTAATTTTTAAAGATTTCCTATTGAAGCTTCATTTAGGAGGAACTGTGGAACTAAATACCTGCTGCACCGAGCTGTTTTGATATTTATATTCTCAGGTGTCTTCAATTTTAAACAGTTTGGACTTTCAATATTTGTTGTGCAACACTGACACATGAGCACGTTCCTTTTTTTTTTTTTCTGTTGTTGTTTCCTTTTTGCTGAATAATTTATTACATATCAAAGATGCATCATTTGTGTGGTTTAATTGTTTTCTTCATAACTCATTTTATCATTTAGAACAGTACTAAAATTAAATGGTTTCAGTGTTTGCTTACCATTGCTTTTTTTTCTTCCTTTATTAATAAAAGGTATTGATTTTACGGCTAATTGTTTGTGTTTTCAAGTTGACTGACATAAACTTAAATTAATTTAATACAAAATAGATGGAAAGACAATAAAATGTCTCCTAAAAGGCGCATCCAAAGTATGGCCCTAGGGCCATTTGCGGCCCTTGGAATGATTTTGTGCGGCCCAAAGATGGTGTAATTCTGACCCACAGTCATAAGAGGTTGGTGCAGATGTAGACCTTTTTTAGATTTAATGAGAATTTTACCATATTTTCCAGCATATAAGGCACATTATGTGTCACAGCTGACCCGTTGTGTTTATTATACGTTTATTGGTCAAAACGGCTTTATTTCACGTGGGCGACCCGGCACCATCCATCCATTGCGGACGGAGCCGCTAGCTCTCCAGCGGTGGTCCGCCTGCACCAGCTGAGTAAAGTGAGCGTGCACGGGAGGACTCGCTGTTGCAATTCTTAGAAATTTAGAATGTCAGTCAAAAATTGTGTTATGAATATGGGGGGGGGGGGAATATTTAAAAGTCGTTTCGGCGTACAAGTCACAGGACTGACAAGTCTGAAAAAACTGCAATTTATATGCTGGAAAGTACGGTAAATGTAATTTTTTTAGGTTTAATAACGAAAAAGATTAAAATAATCTTGTCAAAATGAGAAATATTAAGTACAATACAAATATTTAGCTATATCCTACAGCAAACCTTCACTGAGCTACCAAAAAGTAGAATTTTGGATCATTCATAAAACTTGTCTAAATATAACAAATGTTTTCAAAGAAAATAATTTCAGTTGAGTTAATCGATGGGGAGAAATTGGACATTTTTTAAAAAAGAATATGAAGTGGTATCATCAGCATACAAGTTGATCAGCTTTATCAGTGTCCCTTCAAACCTGCTATGAATCTGTTTTAGTGACTGACAGTTTTTCAGAACCTTCATGGCCCATTTGGGTCGTCCATGGTCCAGATGAGGGATTGAAGCTCCACCCCCTTTTTTTTTTAAAGAACAGTTGCTCATTTTAGGCTTTTGCCTCTGAAAATTAATAGTCCCCAAAAAAGTAATAAATTAAATTATTAAAATAAAAAATGTTAATGTTTATGAGGCTCTTAATGTTCTGGATCTACAAGAATTTCAACTAAACTTTTAACCTTTTTCAAAATATTCAAGTTGTTAAAAATGAGGAGAAAAATGACACTTTAAATTATTATTTTTTTCTTAAATTCAGATTGTTCTGGCCCACGAGACCTTTCATCTGGACAGTTCTGGCCCACGTACGAAAATGTTTGACACCCCTGACTCCTGGATTAAGGCAACATTTCTTCTCAGTAATTTATCTGAAGCTAAATTTGAACGTGACGAGTTCAACGTGCAGTTCAGTTCAGTAAATCATGGTGGACGGGCAGTCTTTAGTGGCTTTGCTCTTTAGTGGTTGGTCCACGACTGAACCCAACTCCCAGTTGTGTCATTTACTTAAATCTGCCACAAGCTCTGCCGTTACAAAAAAATACATACACGCTCATTTAAATGATTATTTGTTTCACATTTTAAGAAACTGGTTGCACAAGTAGGAAATATTTAAAGACTTGCCAACCTTTTCATGATGTCAAGGCAGTTCTTAGACAGCAGACTGTTCTGTTCAGATAAAGTTTAAATAAATAAAATGTACAAATAGCTGTTTCTCAAGAGTGCAAATACTTTGTTGAGGGTTCGAGCTTGTTTTGCTGCTACATCACCGGAGCATCTTATTGTCTGTCACTGAGCTAACCATGAGCTTCTGGAGTCAAATGTGAAACCGCTGGACCACAATGCACCAAGCCGTCTCAAACAGCCATAAATCTACAACAGAGGGGATTAAAAAAAGTTTCAAAATAAAAAGAATCAAGGTGCTAAAATGACTCAAAAGGCCCAATCACAGCCGGGCTGAAATGCTGAGGGACCTTATGAACAAAAGATGCCTGCAAACCTCATTAAAATGTAATAACTGTAAAGAAGAGTGGGCCAGTACTCTCAAACATATGTGAGAGACAGATAAAGCCATATCAGAGATGATTACAGAGAATATTTGCTGCTAAAGGTGGTTCTACCAGCTGATGGGCAGGAATAAATGCTCTTTTTAAACACCTCGTTTGACATTTTGGGCTATTTTTTGTTGAACGCTGTAATTTGTCGTGTCCTGTTTATAAACTATCTAATTTTAGTCAATGTGAGGAGCAGATTATCACCTGCCTTTTGCATGTTTGCCTCTGTGTGCACGAGTTCGTGCGCACATGTGTGTGTGTGCTTGTCTGCCTGGTATCAGAATATACCATGAACCACGGAGCTGAAATAAAACTCACAGTCATTGATGAATGTTCGTCTACAACTAAATTTTTTTTGGGGGGGAGGAGAATTGACCCAAACAAAGATGGCTGCCACAGCTAATCAATATTATTTTTAAAAAACAAAAATGACTATAACTATTTTATAACAATTTCTGAGTTACTGAGTTAAAATCTGATGTGGTAGTAGCTGAGAGTCGTTCCCACACAAAACAGTATTTTCAAGGTTTAGCCAAAATGGCTATAACTCATTAATACTAATGTTGTCTAATACTGGTTATGGGGAATGGTGGTGCAGAGGTTAGAGAAGGTTGGCCTGTGATCGGAAGGTTGCCGATTCAACTCCCTGGACCGACAACATCAAAACGTGGGTGGAAAAGGTGAAACACCCACACCTGCCTCCACCCTCATTTGCCCCACTCTGGGCTCTTGAGCAAGGCCCCTTAACCATCTGCTCCCCGGGCGACCTAGACGGCAGCTCCCTGCTCCACGCAGAGGGCCGTGGTAGTTCTGAGGTCTCTGGTTGCATCAGACATAAAAACAATTGGTAAGTCTGCATGCGAGTTTGTTCTCTGTGTCAACCCCTGAAGAAGGGAGCAGCCAGGTATTATCTAATACTAGTTTAAAATTCTAGCACAAAAGGTGGTGAATGGTGGCATCCTTTTAAGGAGTGCTAGGCATTTCATTTTCCTATTGTGTAAAATAAAAGTCAGTTTACTTTAGAGACTTAAGTTTAAAAAAATGGGAGAATTAAACATGTTCCAAATGTGTTCTTTAGTCAAAAATCTGTTCTTCTGGCTCAGCAGTGTAGAATTGTTCCAGTCCCTTGAAATGTACTCATCTCCGGAGAAGGACGAGTGGCTTTAACTGGTATTTTAAACATTAAACACTGATCTTTATTCAGTAACAGGATAACCCCGGGTTGCCTTCAGCGCCTTAACCTGCAGCTGCACGGTCTCTAGAGAGACAGGGTTGGTGTGACTAACATTACCTACTTGTCTTATTGCAGAAAATAAAAGTGAGAAGGAAAAAAGAAACCTTTCAAATGTGCTCTGTGCGTATTGTCCTAAAAACGCCACCATCCAACCAGAGCTCAGGTCTCACAGCAGACAAGCTGTGGTGTCATTTCGACTGCAACCACTAGATGGCGACACAACTACAATCATCTGGAGCAGCTTCCACACAAAACCTGTAAGACAAAAGTTTCTGGTGTCTGAACAGTGTGTCCCAACTTTTATCTGTTTCCACATGTTAAAGTTAGCCAACAAAATAATGGTTATAACCCAGTCAGCTTTACTGAGCTAAAAATATTGGTGTGGTTGTGGTAGTAGCTGAAAGTAATCCTACTCTGAGTGCTAACACCACAGATATCATATAAACTTATCAACGTTTATATATGATATCTATGCTAACACCCCCCAACACATCTTGTTGGATCACTACAAAACATCCTGTTCGGACTAGCTGCTCATTAGTCCTGGCAGAACTTTATTTCTTCAAACTGAGGTACATCAAACACATATTTTTGTACTAAAAACACCCAACAAAAACATGATTTGTTCTCAATTGAGACAAGAACATATTGATATAATAAGCAGAAAGGAACGGTGAACCTGGGTTATTATGTATGGGTTTAGTCTGTAAGGTAGTTTTTTCAGCCTTCTTCACTTTTCGTAAAGGGAAAAGCGGAAAGCAGAACGAACGATAACAAGCGCATGTTTCCGCCCGGACCACCTTTTTTACAGGACGCCGGCAAACCTGAAAACACAACCGAGCAGTCACGCAGAGCTCGAACAGCTCAGTGTTGTGATCTTGAACAGGACTATACGATGCGGGATTTAACCAGGAGATTCGTTTAGTACCGACATGTGGACCGCATCGGACAGAACCGAAGAGTCGGACATAAGTCCTGCTAACTGGATCCTGCAACATCCGGTGGTAAGAGAAAGGAGCCGTGGGGGCTGAGGCTGAGGTAGACCCTCTATGACCACTTTGTGTGTGTGTGTGTGTGTGTGTGTGCGTGCGTGCGTGCGTGCGTGTGTGTGTGTGTGTCAGTACCAACAGATGAAGGATCTGCAGGGTGGAGACAGCGAGCAGCTGCACGCAGCGTTTCTGGTCTACATGGATCTTACTGAGGGTGAGATAGATTTCAACTTTGTTTGTGTTTTTCATTCATTTTCCAACGCGTGCTAGGGTATCAGAGGGTGGACTACTGTCTTGTGTATTTATTGCGAGCTAGAAGAGGAATTATTTCGCCTGTGTTTGGTTATTTGTCTGTTAGCAAAATAATTTACAACCCAACCTCAGCTGATCAATATTAACCAGCGTGTAAACAATTATAACTCAGCCAGTTTCAATTTACAGATGTTTAGCTGATTTGGTGTAATAATAACTCAGCATCTTTCAAAGCACACGATCTGAGCACGATACCGCACACAGGATCTTTGCTTAAAACTTTAATATTAATTCTTAGCGTTTGTTAGCAAAATATCTTGTGAACATCTGGACATATTTAGTGATATTCTCAGAACTTATGTCTACAGCTGATTTACTTATGAAGACAGCCCAATTCAAGATGGCAGCCACAGCTTATTAATATTAGCCAACACAAAAAAGGCTTTGACTTAAATGTGCAGATATTGATTTAAGTTTGATGTGGTAGCAGCTGAGAGTCAGCCCCAACACATACTCTGAGTGCTAACACATGTGGCAGGATCTTGCAATATCGCGAGAGATCATGCTGAACATTATTTACAAGGTTTGATCAGAATGGCTAAGATGATGTTAGTCTCTCTAAAACTCTTGCATGAAAGGCGGTGGACAGAATGCATTCCTTTAAAGAGTGTGAGACTTTTGCCGGTAATTAGACTTAGTTTTTGTTGTTCTTCTGAGCTTGTTTACCTCAGTTTAAGGCCAGTTAAAGATGACTTTTCTCCTGATACGTAAAACTGTACAAGTTAAAGAGAGCAGTGTTTTTTTGTTTACACACTGTCATTGAATGTGGAAGATCCTTATATTCAGAAGCTGTTAAAAGTTTATAAATTTGCACGTTGAGTAGAAATAATCATTCATGTTCTAAACAGGAACAAACTTGTCGTCTATTGAGGCAAAGGATTAAAGTTAGTGTAAATGGACTGTAGCAGCCCCTTTCTATCTTATCAAGACACTCAAAGTTCTTTACATCACAATCTGTGTCCTCATTTACACAATTCATACAGCACTCTACTATAAGATCTTTACAAAGACTAATTGAACAATTCATTCTGAAGAGACTAATCAGTGCTTTAGATCACATTCGTGCACCAGTCCCCTGTCACTGTTTCTGTGCTCTGCAGGGCGTCGGTGGACCCAAGTGTCCTGGGTCAGGAGTCCAGAACTGCAGGTGGTTCTGTTGGAAGCGAAGGAAAAGGATGGAGCACCTGTTCACACCGTCCTGCCCCTGCCTGTTCACCGATCCCTGAGCCACAGAAGGTGATGTGTCGATGCCCTCGGGCCGTCATGGTGTAACCCTCCTTATGTTTGGTTCACTCTCACTTCCTTCCTCTCTGCTGTGCAGCGTACGTCACACACTGGACAGGGGGTTTCCTGTGCTGCTGTGTGCCGTGGCATCCGACTCCACCCTCGTCTATCAGAAGATGACTGATGGGCTGGTGACGCCGGACCCCCCTGTGGGACCCTTTCAGGATGTGGGACGTCGGCAGCACCGGAAGAGACGGCAGCAGTGTTGAGAAAGGAAAAGATGAACCTGAAGCTGAGGAGCTCCATCATGCGAGCGATAATTTAAACCAGCACAAAGACGGGCGGGCGGTGTGGAGGTCCCATCTGACCAACTAAAAGGACAATAAGAAGATTTCTGGTTAGTCTTTACAGTTTGAACAGACTGAGCACATTTGTGTTGGTTTGGCAGCTGTTAGTCCACGTGGACAAAAGAACAGAACTGGTTGGTTAAAATATAAAGTTACACTGACTGATTATTATCTGAAGATGATTTGTGCTGTTTCTTATTTTTACTTTTATAGTTCATATACATTCATGTTTTGCCTTGAGAACACTTGTCCATACAGATGCAAAGAAATTAGTTTAACTGTTTTGTTTAAAATAACACACAAAGGGTGTTGAAATAAGATGAAACTGACAAGTAAAAAATAAATGCTGAAAATCTACAATTTAACATCAGTCATTTTTGAATTATGCTTCAACAAAATTCTAGAATCGCGCCGCTCAAGGTGGCTGCATGTTGGAGTAGCTCTTACATCCATTCTGAGATTTTGCTTTTGAAAACTTGAATTATTCTTTTTTTCTGGATGTAAATCGCTTTTTTTGGATGAATATTTCCTCTGGTATCAGATGCTGTGCAGCTGGAAGGATTTTTACTGAAACCATTTTACTTTTGGACATTTGTTATGATGCGTAACCATGACAACAAGGTGGTTTTCTACAACTGGGAGTTGCTAATTAACATCTCAAAAGCTCAAATAATACCTCAACTACAGCCCCAAATCCCAAATGAGTTGAAAAGGAGGTGCCGTGGATGCATTCCCATCTACCTGGAGGCGGTGCTCAAGTGTCTGACCACCAAGATCTTGGAGGTGGCGGGAAACGTGGTTCGTGACAGCGGGAGGACCATGGAGTTCTGCCGGGTATTCAGGTGGTCCTGCTGCCCAAGAAGACAGAGAGGTCTGCTGGGTCTGGGTGGAGGGATCGGCATCGACAACCATTTTCTTTGGATCTGCTGTGGGACAGATTGCTACAAGAAATCCTTCCTGCCCACAGCCATCAGCATCTATAACAACTCTAATGAAACCTGGATGAGCTACAACAACAATTAATTTCCCTTTGGGATTAATAAAGTATTTTTGAATTGAATTGAAATAATATTTTAAAAAACAACTAGGAATTGGCCAAGATTAAATGAATGAAATCCTAAAAAAAGACTAACTAATTTGACCACAGAGATATGACTCAGGTGTGTCCTATAATTATTGGTGTCTTTAATCCTGTAATCAGCACATTCAGCTGTTTAAAGAGTTAAAAAAATAAAATTACTGAGCAGCATGTTGAAGGTAAAGACTATCAGACCATCTCC